ATCATCTCTAGTCAACGACTCTCTGCGCTTCTGATCTGTAACGTCGACAGGAAGTGACCGCCATGAGACGGCGTATCATCTCTAGTCGACGACTCTCTGTGCTTCTGATCTGTAACGCTGACAGGAAGTGACCGCCATGAGACGGCGCATCATCTCTAGTCAACGACTCTCTGCGCTTCTGATCTGTAACGTCGACAGGAAGTGACCGCCATGAGACGGCGTATCATCTCTAGTCGACGACTCTCTGTGCTTCTGATCTGTAACGCTGACAGGAAGTGACCGCCATGAGACGGCGCATCATCTCTAGTCAACGACTCTCTGCGCTTCTGATCTGTAACGTCGACAGGAAGTGACCGCCATGAGACGGCGTATCATCTCTAGTCGACGACTCTCTGTGCTTCTGATCTGTAACGCTGACAGGAAGTGACCGCCATGAGACGGCGCATCATCTCTAGTCAACGACTCTCTGCGCTTCTGATCTGTAACATCGACAGGAAGTGACCGCCACGAGACGGCGCATCATCTCTAGTCAACGACTCTCTGTGCTTCTGATCTGTAACGTTGACAGGAAGTGACCACCGTGAGACGGTGTATCATCTCTAGTCAACAACTCTGTCATTCGTTCTGATTTGCATCTTTTCAGACTTATTTTGTGGCTGAATATAATTTGTAGCTTCTTAAACTCTGAATGAGGATAGTGATAGTGAGATACTGGCTACAGTGATGAAACAAAACCAGCATCAGATGGACTGGATTCATAATCAATACGCCACAATAATATAAATAACCAGCGCCAATTCATCAGCCAATGAGAATGTGTGTGTGTGGGGACGGAGCACCTGCTGCAGCAAGCCAACATGCCGTCTGTGGTCATTTTGACTTGATCAGCTGACTTCACTACACTACTAGCTGATTGGCTGTTGAAACAGGTGTCGTACTGAGTGTCAGGTGACACCATCATCTGTTCTAAAACAGTTTTATCTTGTCGTGACTCTTTAGTCTGAGCAGCACTTTACAGCTGAAAATGATGAAGAGAACAGTCCATTCCTCTCACACCCACTGCACTTTGAAATGCAACTGCTTCTGCAAACTTTCAGCAACAGACTTCATTTAAACTCTAAAATGCGTTTAAGACTTTGAATAATTAAACTTGTATTCAGCTTTTTGATATCTTTAACCATTTTCTGCCTTTACAATGGGTTTCTATGGGACAGAATGTTTAACTGTCAGAGTGCAGAGAGCTTCTTCAACATTTCTCTTTAACTCACTGTCACGCCCACAACTTTCACTCTACATACATCATTTTTAGTCAAAATAAAGTGAAACTTGTGCTTTTTCAAATAATGTAGCTGTGGAACGAAACAGATTTACACATGTGGCACAGTGAGCATGAAAGTGAGAGAAAGTCCAACTGTTGCATTGAACTCCATATTACCTAGGACCAGAAATCTCTGAAGGACAGCAGATAGTACCAGTTTTCTAACCTGCAACCGTGCTCACATTTCTGACACTACAGACACAAATATCACACTATTTATTCCTCAGGTTGTCCTCTCTCTCAGGGTATACAAATTATAATGATCTGAGTTACCGTTATTGACAAAAGGCCAGTTTTTACACAAGTACGCTTCAACGAAATCTCTAAAATCCTGTTTCCACCAAACCCTTTCAGTCCAGCACCTTTGGAACCAGCAGTAATTCTTCAGACATGGTACCTAGACCCTCGGTGTGTTCAGACAGTCCTCTTAAATGTGGGCGGGGTTGTTGTCACTCACTGCTCCGTCCAGCACTCGCTGTATTTCCTCATCAGCGGTGACACAGATGGAAGTCTGCACCTGGTTTATCGTCCACAGAACGAGGCTGCACGCCCACATTTTCACAACAAAATAGAACAGGCTGCAGTGAGAGTCTCTCTCCATGGGATATTTAAAAATAGCAGCTTTGTGCATTTAGTCCTTCTCAGGCAAGCTCAGGGGTTTAGTGTTGCTGTAGCCCACAGGAAGTGAGGATTAGAATATATGACCTTCACATAATCCGCTCCAAATTAATCTATATTTTTAAAGTCATTACTAAAAGTGTGTGTCATATAAAAACTAAAGTGATGCTCAAAGTTGTCACAGTGAAATTTAAGGTGTGCTGATGGATTTTGCCGTTTGTTGTCCTCCGAGCATAAAACTTACATCAACTTACATCTTCACTCTGGTGAGACCAACATGTTGATGATTGGACTCACGGTTTTGGCATAAAAATGAGTTTAAGTTTTCTAATTTCCATTAAAAGAACTTAGTGTGTGTTAGCAGTGTGTATGTCCCCTGTGTGTCTGTATACACTCCCAACAACGTCTGGACGTGCTCCTGATGAGTTGGCGGATGGTATCCTGAGGGATCTCCTCCCAGACCCTGATCAGGGCATTAGTGAGCCCTGAAATAAATAGTTTCAAATTTATATTCTGTCAATTGACGAACTGATTAATGGGCCAATAGTTTCAGCTGGACTGTCCAAACTGTTTATAACCAAAGAGAAAGATTTATAGAGAATACACAGAACAAGTACCTCAGTACAAGTCCGACAGTCCTACAGTAGTAAGGTACTGTACGTGATGTGAAACATTCAGATTCAGACGTTTATGTTTTAAACACGAGTCAATTCTGATGTTTCAGTTTCTTTGTTTTCTCGGCTGTTACTCAGAGAGCAGCAGCTGTTTGACCTGCAGACGACGTTGTATTCATGATTCACACACACACACACACACACACACACACACACAGTCATTAAGTGTCATTTAAAACAAACTGCCTGTTTCTCGGCTGGAAGCTCTTTCACTTCAAATGAGCCACAATTTAGGAAATTTTTTCCAGGTTGGATGACAAATTATGTCTAGACAGAATCACACACACACACACACACACACACTCACAGAACATAATGGCAGCAGTTTGTGTTTCTGTGTTTTAAGCCCCCAACATGTCGTCTGATCTCTGCTGATATTACTCGACATGAACCTTTACTGAGCTCTGATATTAAGACTACAAGGTCACTCTCACCATTTCAACATTTTAACATTTCACTTTCTCTACCTGAAACCTTTTTATCTGTTTCCCCTGATCCACCAAATGAACTCTGGTTCTGTTCATGGTTCCTGGAACCTACCTGCCAACTATTGAACCAGTTTTAATCAGAAGCATTGTGATCAAGGATGAGTCATCAAGGAGGAGGACGAACAACAGAAGTAAACAATAGCAAAATCGATCACACTGATTGTTTTTACCCAAAAACACACATGAACCGCTCATTAATGAGACAGCTGCACAAGCCCCAACGAGTTCTCACATGACCTCTCCACCCTCTCTGTCCAACCTGTAGAATAAGACACGCCCACTGATGTCATCATGGTTCACACTTCTGGTCAAGGAAAATCTGCTTTGTTCTGGTTCCAGCTGAGAAACAACTTTTCATGTTTATACCAATTTAAAATGCTCTGAATGGTTTGAACTAGGTGCACCATCTCAACTAAGGTGGGTTACCTCCAGGTGCTCTGACATGTTCTCCCTGTGTCAGCGTGGGTTTCCTCCAGGTGCTCTGACATGTTCTCCCTGTGTCAGCGTGGGTTTCCTCCAGGTGCTCTGACATGTTCTCCCTGTGTCAGCGTGGGTTTCCTCCAGGTGCTCTGACATGTTCTCCCTGTGTCAGCGTGGGTTTCCTCCAGGTGCTCTGACATGTTCTCCCTGTGTCAGCGTGGGTTTCCTCCAGGTGCTCCAGCTTCCTCCCACAGTCCAAAGACATGCAGGTTAATTGGTGACTCTAAATTGTCCGTAGGTGTGAATGTGAGTGTGAATGGTTGTCTGTCTCTATGTGTCAGCCCTGTGATAGTCTGGCGACCTGTCCAGGGTGAACCCTGCCTCTCACCCAGTGTCAGCTGGGACAGGCTCCGCCCCCTGTGACCCCAACAGTTTAAGCTGTTGCAGAAAATGAATTAATGAATATTAAACATGTTGGATTTTATCCAAACGTCAGGATGAAACACAGACCGACTTAAAACAGCTTGGGCTGAGATTTTTACCGTGTTTAGCCTAGCTTAGCACACATACAGAGAGCAGGGGGAAACTGTAGCCTAGCTCCATTAACAGAGAAGAGTCTCAGTGTGATTTACATGTTGTATGTAGCTGAGTGAGCAGGTGGATAAAAAAAACAGGAGGGTGGAGGATGTAAGTGCCTCATTAAAACCAGAGGCTGTTTGTCTTTTACTGTGACGACCAACAAAGAGCTGCTAATGATGATAGCTTTTAGCACCTCATGTTTAAAAGCCCGCAATTAACACACACGCACACACACACCACAGACTGTCTGATAAACACCACTTCACTCATTTAAAGCTCAGCTCAGCACGTTGCCAAACATCATTTGACAGCGTGTCATCGAGGTGACGTTTTGTACGGTGGCCCTGAGAGGTCAAGTGGAAGCAGCAGACAGAAGAGCTCAAATCCAGGATGAGGACCCGTCCGTCAACAGACCCGTACAACCTTCATAAATACATTTTCTGAAAACCAAAACAGAGACACCTGGTCCGGTCAGATCCGTCTGAATTAGGCTGAAACTATTTTCACAATTAATCGTATCATCTATAAAATGTCAGATCTGATTGTATGACTCCGCCCACCAGTCCACCCTGTGGTTGTATGACTCCGCCCACCAGTCCACCCTGTGGTTGTATGACTCCGCCCACCAGTCCAGTGTCTCTGACAGTCTCCATCCATGTCAGTGAAAACATGGATGCTTCACACACAGAAGATCTATACAATCAGCACAGTTTCAAGATTAGAGTCACCAATTCAGTATCTGACCAAATGTCTCCCCTTCTGTTCCTGAGATATGACGTTACTCAGTAATACTCAGTAATACTCAGTAATACTCAGCAGTACTCACAGATGTAGTAGTACTCGTGACCCGGCCTGAACTCGAAGCCCAGGCTGAAGGGCGTGAACAGCTGGAACTTCTCGGAGAACTTGAGCGGTCCGTTGGGGCTCTGTGGTCGGTTACACTCCCAGCGTTTGAAGCCCTTCCTGTGGTGGTCGCAGGTGGTGTAGCCGTCGTAGTTCACCATGTACAACACGTAGTGCTCCATGCGCTCAGCCGCCTCCGCCCACTCGTAGTGCGGACAGTAGATGTCCAGGTAGTCGTTGATCGCCACCTCCACCGTGTACTCGCCCCGAAAGAACCTGGGGAAGAGGAAGAGGAGTGATGTCATTTCCTGTGGAGCTGCTGAAGAGTCTTTTCTCACAGTTTCAACATTTTCTTTTGATAATTTATTTGATTAAATTAAAATAATTTCTTTCTCTACTGAACATAGAAGCTCACGACTCTCCTGATGATGTCACCATCACACAGCTTCATGGTTTCTTTCCACTTTGTTTTAGACATTTGTGTTTCATGGTATTAATGTTTCAGCTGTCGACGTATTGTTTTGACAGTAATAGTATTTCAGCTGTTTTGATGGAAGAAGAAAGTTTCAATTTCAGTCTGTTATTTTACAATCAACAGTTCAGCTGAACATTTTTTTGTTTGGCCGACAGTTTTTCTGATCACTGAGAAAAACGCTGATTTGACATAAAGTCAAAAAATAAAAGTAGCAGTGACTTTTGTCATTTTCTCGTAGCTCAGCTGCCACATCTCTCTGGGGGCAGCTTTAATGTAGTGACACTTTATTTGGATGTAGATTAACTGCTAGCTTATCTTATTACATTTTTAAAGTAGCGCCCAACACCGGTATTTTGGATGTTTTTTCCCACTGGTCTGAAAAACGACATGTTACAGAAGCAAAAAGGCCCAAAATGTCCAAACTGAGAGGTGTCTGTGTGTCAGTTACAAGTGACCCTCATTATTTCTTGTTGTTAAACTATATTTTGTAAATTTTATTTATCATTTAAACTTTCTGTTGAATGTTTGTGAATTTTATCTCCTTAAGTCATTTTTATTCAGTGTTTCCTGTGAAAATGAACTTAATGCACATCACCTCTTCTGTACCTCCTGGGTCTCTGTAGCTCCTTCTATCTGCCTCTCACAGAGCCATTTTGCATCGCTGGGGGTAAGGTGGAATTTTTACTTCTGCCTTGAATCTTAACTACGCTGTAGGCTCTGCGTCAACATGGAGCCCACGCTGTAGCCTGACCTGCACCTCCCCAGAGATGTAACTCCACATCACACTGATGCAGACCTCCTGTCTGTCTCTGTAATGCCTGATTTATGGTCCTGCATTAAATCAACGACGTCGCTACGTCGTAGGGTACGTGGCTATGCAGGAGGCTCGCTGTAGCCCCCCGGCGACGCAGACCCAGTGCAGACCGAGAGGGCTGTGATTGGTTTGCTTGGTAGCAACGCATTTCCGGTTCCGTATTTCCAGATCGCACCATCCCCGCCATCTTTAAACATCTTCTGTTGCGATGCAGATTTTGCAGTATTAAGGCCCATTTATGCTCAACGTTAAATACGGATACGGACGGAGCTGTCTGTCCGTGCTCCGCGTTCCGGAAAAGCCGGAAGCTAAACAAAGAATCAACTAGAGACGACGATAACCATTCAGGAAAGGAACGCAGCCTCCTGCCGCTCTGGTGGTGAATTGCACCACGACGAAATGGAGTGACGGAGAAGTTTGAAGGGTTCACGACGGCGTCACAGCAACGACGTAGGTACGCCGCAGGACCATAAATCAGGCTTAAGCTGAAACCTGAATTTCTGACCATTACCGCCCGCACCCACAATGTGTATGTCCACTCCCACCCGCACCCACAAAACTCTGAGAATTTATGCCCGCACAATAATAGACATGCATTGATTTTGTGTCTTCTCCCGTCCCGCAGAAGAAAACACGTCATTTTATAAGCTATTAATAAAAAGATTCATGGGGTTGTTTGTTTCGTTTCCCTGGTCTGCATGTCTTTTGAGCACTGGTCAGGAATAGCGCTCCTATTTCATTGTTTTCATTTAGTTTTTAATGAAATAAAGGCTGTTTCATATTCTATTCTCCTCCTCTGTATTTATTTATGTTTCTACCTTTATATAATCACACAGTGATTGAGGTTCAGGTCTGTTTTCTAAGAGAGACCTGAATAAGACACATAATGCGATACAGATAAAGCCTATGCTCAATAACACCGGCATCATCACGCCTCTTTATGTAACTAACAAATAGCAACGAGAGCAGGCTGTGAGTGGCTCAAATGACACTAATAAATAACATAAAATAAACAAAGTTAACGAATGAATTTAACAAATGAATCACTTGGCCATCATATTGCTGTGGAGAAAGAGAATGTTGTTATTCTGTGTGTTTCGGTGTTTGTTGCTCTCTGTTAAGTTTCCTACACACACACACACACACACACACACACACACACACACACACACACACAGAGTTCTACTTTGCCCACTAGGTGTCGGTGTTTTTACTCTCTCTCTTTTTGTTTCCTGAGGGAACAGCCAAAAGAAGAAGAAGACGTAGTTTTTCGTGGTTTTGTTCTGTTTTCAGTGTTTTCTGGTGTATTTTAATAGTTCCTTGATAATGATGTGAATATAATGTGATGTGTTTGAACCTGGAGGAGAACATGTAGTGAGACACAGGGCCGTTTGCTCTGCTGGAGGAGTAGAGGTGCGCAAACAGGTGTCCACGAGACGATTGTGTCATTCAGTCCTCTGCAGGCGTGAACACGTGCTGGACAACAGTATCTTTGAGTCGCACACACACGCTACACATGAGGAAGAGACTGAAGTCATTTATCAGTTTATCACTTCAGAAAGTTTTTCTTTCTGTTAAACTGAATCTTTTTGGGTTATGGACGGACAAATAAAGATGTTTGCAGACGTGACTTTGAGTCGTTGAAGCTGTTTACACTAACCCGTCCATGTTAAATGACTTCCTGAGAACCTGCCATGAACGACGTCTCCACGACGTCTCCACCTGCACACGTTCGGTCTGAAGTCGACACATTAAGATAAAGTTTCCTCAGAGCAGAGACGGAAACATGTGAAACATGTCGGGTGAATCAGTCAAAGTGTTTTTGTTTCTCCTCACAGCTGCTCCGTCACACTGTCGCCGTCATTTACATAATTTAATTGAGCACAAACACAGATTCTGTCACAGTGTGACACACCAGTCAGTTACCTCCTTATTACCAACCATCATCATTCAACAGTTGATCCCAGAAAACAAACTAATCAAACTTCATGTGTCTCTGAATATTCATGTCACAACAACACTGTGTGTGTGTGTCTGTGTGTGTGTGTGTGTGTGTCTGTCTGTCTGTGTATGTGTGGGGGGGAGTCGTCCAATCAACAGAGCTAATTTGGATTTTGGTAATGAGGTTTGAACTGACTGATTTGGTTTCTTACGGTCCGTCCTGATTGGCTGAGCAGTCCTGGTTTAATCACAGCTCGTTTTAAATTCTGCTCCACTCTCATTTAACAATAAAAAAAGTTTCAATTCACATGTTTGACAGATGGTGTGTGTGTGTGTGTGTGTGTGTGTGTGTGTGTGTTTACTGTCCTCAAATTAAAAATCCATTAAATCAAACTGATCCTGCTGAGTTGACTCTAACAGACAAACAGACTCGTTACTTCTTACAGTGTGTGGGAAAAAACGATACAGCACAGTTTTTGTCATTGATCAGTTTGAGAGTCCAAATTACTGAATTCCAGCTTCTTAAATGTGAATATATTCTGGTGTGTTTACTCTGCGACAGTAAAGTGAATATCTTCAGACAAAACAAGACATTTGAAGACGTCATGTTGAAAAACACTGATCAACATTTTTCACCATTTTCTGGCATCGTACAGATAAAAACAAAAAAATAATCGATTAGCTGAGAAAAATATCGACAGATTCATCAACAATAAAAATTTCTATTGTGTTTTGTTTGTTTGTTTTTTTCCTTTTAATGTCTTTTTAATGTCATTTTGTGTATCTGTACGGTGTCCTTGAGTGCCACGAAAGGCGCCTTCAAATAAAATTTATAATTATTATTATTAACTGTGAGTTGCAGCCGCACTATGTGTACTGCTTATTTTTGATGAGCTGAAAATGCTAAAACAGAGCAAACTCCAGCTGGAGGAGAAAGGTGACAGCTCCCAGGGTTCGGCCAAACTGCACTTTATGTACAATTGATCTTTTATTATTATATGTATTATTCATTTTTGCAAAGACAGGTTACAATCCAACTTGTGGTACTAGAATAATGAAACCAGTTTTCGGTCCACTAGACGGTGCTGATGTTTCATCTCCTGGTGAGGTCAGCAGAGGTCTCTGGAAGTTTGTCAAAACAAAGATGGAGGCATGAGACAGAAATCAGAAATGTAACGTCAGCGTTTAAATCAAACGTCTGGGCACAGAAGGAAAGGAGGACGTGCACATGACGCATGAGAATAAAATACTCTGGGAATACTACGAACATGAGGGCTGACCTCACAGGCCACCATCCAGAGATAGCGTTAGCCGCTGACGGACACTGGACACACTGAGCTCGACATAACTACCATCAGATAATAACACAGTCCATCACCTACTTCCTGTGAAAGATCTGCGTCCATACAGCGCTGCTGAAAACCAAGGCTTTTGTTACATGCTAAAAACACATGAACCCAGGTATGTGACTCCGCCCCCATGTTTTTTCACTCACACCAGTACCCGAGCTCTACAGAGACGTGACGCATAAAGCTGAGGAACCTTTGAGTACAGCAGGAAGGGTGGAGTTAACCTGTGACGCAGTGTCGTAGTGAAGCTGCTGGATGTTGGACACAAGTGTCCTCCTGTCCCACAGGATGTTGGACACAGGTGTCCCCCTGTCCTCCAGGATGTTGGACACAGGTGTCCTCCTGTCCCACAGGATGTTGGACACAGGTGTCCTCCAGGATGTTGGACACAGGTGTCCTCCTGTCCCACAGGATGTTGGACACAGGTGTCCCCCTGTCCTCCAGGATGTTGGACACAGGTGTCCTCCTGTCCCACAGGATGTTGGACACAGGTGTCCTCCTGGATGTTGGACACAGGTGTCCTCCTGTCCCACAGGATGTTGGACACAGGTGTCCCCCTGTCCTCCAGGATGTTGGACACAGGTGTCCTCCTGTCCCACAGGATGTTGGACACAGGTGTCCCCCTGTCCTCCAGGATGTTGGACACAGGTGTCCTCCTGTCCCACAGGATGTTGGACACAGGTGTCCCCCTGTCCTC